GTTCTGTTCTGTTCATATTAGTTACCTGATTTACATAATTAGTTTTCAGCTTTTCCATCAATATCTCATGTACAAGTAATTTTGAATTAATTTTTAATGTGTCTTCAATACTCTCAGCACATGGGAGTTCTTTCTAAGCTTTCTTTGATTCTACCATTTAATTTTGTTATCCATGGAGACGATGTGTTGAAGCATCACTGGTGTCATGTGTTTGAATTTTGCATAAACACTTTTTTTTTTTCGCATGAAGTATTTTATGCATGTTGTAAACATCGCATGGGACCCATAATGACTAGGGTATTTATGCATGATTTGTTTCTGTGACTTGCATGCCATTCCAGACAACAAACCAAACAAGCATCTACTTCATGGAATTATAATCTCCTATATGTCAAGTTTAAAACTTATTTTATTGATTATTGAACTAGCTAGATGATAGTGAGTACACCATTCTTATAAATTGCGCCCTCTAGTAATTGAACAATTCTATAACAGGAAAATGATGTAAATGGCTGAAGACAATGTTCAAATTACTCACTTTGTTTGCGTGTCTCATAAACATAATCCTCATGTTGGATGTACTGCAAATTGAAAGGATATCAACGATGTGTGCGGCTTTTATGGCACAGAAGCACTTCACAACTGGAGGGTGCGATTTACAAGAAAGGTGTATTGGTCAGTGTGCACTACTCAACTGATCAAGCTTTTTCATTTAAATTGCTGTTTTTTGTTTGTTTCTTGTTGTGCTTAACTTTTTCTGTTCTTGATAGAAGGGCCATCGTTTCCTTTTGGACAAGGCGCTGCATCATCAAATGAATCGGCAACAGAGCAAGTGGAAAAGAAATTTGTTGAAAAAATAAAGGACAGCTTAGATAAATCTTCTCAGGGAATTCGGCTTCTAGAAGACGCTGCTGGTACCCCTTCTTCATCTGGTCATGATAGTCTCAAAGGGCATTTTAGTATTGGTAGATTGGATGGGCGTTCATCACCGCAACGGAGCCTATCACCTAAGACTTTAAGGAAAACTAAAACTGGGAAACGTGAAAGAACATCATCACCAGCACCTAAGGATAAACCTCCAGCAAGATCACGGTCAGGGTCTTTTAAAGCTAGCGAAAATCGATTCAGAGAGTCTTTCAAACAGGCTGTTTCAGCCTCAGTTGCAGAGACTGCAAGATCTGTGTTTGCTTCTTTTCTATGGCATGAAGGAATTGTCCACGATGCCATGGCGTGTGCTTCATTCTTGAAATTTCATCCAGGACTTAGTAAACAGGCTACTAGTTTACCACAACCCACACCTGAACCCGTCCCTACTCATGAAAAACTGAAGAATAGGTACTCGGCAGATTTCAGCCAAAGCATGCCTGAATCTGCAATAGCATCTCTACAAGACCCAGAACTTTTGGCAAAGCTATGCAATGGCAACAAGGAAGTTGATGGAACTTCAAGTGGTGGAAGTGCCAGTCCAAGAGAATCACCAAGAATGAGCACATCATCTGAGTCTTCTCCTAGGAAGGGACATTCATCACCTAAAAAGGCATCCAGGGAAGCATCTCCTAAAACATTGTCCAGGGACTCCTCTCCAAAGAGGTCTATTGACTCCTCGCCCAAGAAGACTCCATCAGAGTCAATGTTGAAAGGTTCTCCTAAAAAAATACATGTTGGTATTGTGGCAGAGTCTGATAAGCAGCCATCGGAATCTCCATTAAGAGGGTCGCCTAAAAAAACGCCTGTGGGTGTAATTGCTGAGGCTGATAAGACAAGGTCCCCAAGAAAATCGCCCAAGCACTCACCAAAAGTTTCTCCGAAAAGTTCTCCAAAACCTTCTCCAAAATCCTCACCACTGCTTTCGCGAAAGGCTAAACAGTTGACAACGTCTTCCGATGTTTTTAGTAGTGGAAGATTGCACACTCCTTCAGTAACTCCAAGAGAGAGGTCGGCCAGTACCTCAAAAACTGATGGACTATCCCTTAGGGATTCACAGACAATGCAGAATAACATTAAAAAAGATCTTGCTCCTGAGTCAGCACTCCCACCCACATTAAAACACCTTGTATCTTTCTGGGAAGACCTCTCCAGTGCTGTTTTAAATGTGGCTGCTCAGCAGATTGTTCTCCCAAGTCCAGCTGTTATTGTGAAATCATCAAAAACCAAAAATGATAAAAAGGATAGGGACCGTGACAGGAGTCGTAAAGATAAGAAAAAACGTGAAAAAGCTCCCTTAGGTAGAGGTAATCTTTTTGGCGAGGCAGCTGGTGTGCCTATAGGTGCTGGAGAAAGAGAATCAGTTTGTGAACTATGTGATGGAGTCTTTCCGCATCCTGTCACGTACCATATGAGACAGAACCATCCCGGGTGTGGCAGGCATGCTGGAGGACAAGGGTACAATAGCAGTGGGAATTTCTGCGGCGGTTGGGCTGGGAACTGCGGAGACGGTGGCAGGGGAGGAAGCAGTTGGTATTTGATGTGCGATCGGTGTAGAGAAAAGTACCTGAAAGAAAAACGTTCTAATGCCTCAAAAGAAAAAGTCAAGAAACTGAAGAAAAAACCTCCTCCTTTGCGAGTTTCCAAGGTGTTGCCCCCTGTGGAAGCTCATCACATTATGAAAGCCAATGCTTTATTTCTGCTTGATCTTGCCAGTGCTGCCGGACCCTTACTTCCATCGAGTAGCCCTGTTAAAAAACAATCCAAATTTGATTTGCCAGTCCTAAGTGAAATGGATTTACAGACTACGTCAGAATTTCCTCACTCAGTACCATTCCAGTTTCTGAAAATGTTACGTGGTGAACACCATTCTGAAATGCTGCCCTTGATTCTTAGAGATGTTGAAATGTTTACACGTGATGGAAGACTTGAAGCATCCATTAATGCCAGGAATGACATGCTTCCTCAGTCAGGTCAGTAATTTTAATGTTGTGTGAATTTAAAATATATTGCATAAATTAATATTTAACATTTGACATTGTTCTTAGGAATATTGAATATTTTCCTACTAATTTTGTATGCATGTTTATGTTTGCCATACTCAATGTACTTTAAAGTAATTTATTATCGCTATTTTCACTGGAGGGTGATTTAGTGGAAATAAAATCCAGCAAATATACCTTTTTTTCTACATTTTACATTTAACTCATCAAAAATCAGTCAAAATATACTACATAGGAAACAACCAAAACATTTTTTCAGCCAAAATTAATTCCAGCTAAAATATTTCACACTACCGATATGTGGTCTTTATGTTTCTAACCTAATTTTGACTGTATTTACTTCAAGATTTGGATGGCCGTAAAGGTGGTGGGAGTAGTACCAAAGAAAGACCCAAAAGTGCAATAGAACTAGATCCTAGACGTATGCCATTCCAAAGATCAATATCAATGACTAATAATGTAGATGATGAAAGCGCTAAAGTTATTATTAAACCAAGAATCCAGAGGAGGAGAAATAATAGTGGTAGTACAAGTAGGTATACATTGCTTGTCTATTATGTACTGTTATACATGTAATAGAAAACGTTTATCACAAAGAATTGGTAATTAGATTAGAATTAATATACTGTACATAAACAATAGCTGTCTACAGTCAATGTCACTATTAAAGCAAAATTTAAAAATGTTAAGAATGCAAAAACACAGATAAAATTACTGTTTTGCCAGTTTTGCCAGATTTAATTTCTGTATCGCTGTATTGTAAACCAATATTATTTAAAGTGAACGTAAGAAGAAAATGACTTCTCATTTCGGTTTGATTAAAAATTAAGCAATTACTTTTCAATAACTTTTTTTACAGGTTTGCTAAATTTTCATTAGCTTGTTGGTCTACATTATTGGTATGGCTGATTGCATTAGAGTCACCATTTGTGTGGCTTCCACAAGTACTGGTAATCCAATTCTACAAATTACTCCAATGTTTGTTTTGCAGCATCTTTTACAGAAGGGGGATCGTCTTTGCTAAGACGACCGTCACCAGCATTAGCAAAACTTGTAGGTGGTGGAAATAACGAGAAAGCTTTACAGAGACCAGTTATTTCATTTATTATGCAACGGTACGATTTAGAAGGTTTAAAAATTGCGATGAAGCAAGCTGTAAGAAAAGCGGCATGTCGTGTACATGCTATGCAGGTAGGTAGCCTAATGTTGTGAAGAATATACCCTAATAGACCATTTTCCGTTCACTGCGAGAATCACGCGTTATGCGTGAAATCGAACGTAAAAACAGGACAAACAAAGGTCATAGCGTCATAGTGGCGTCAAACATCGCGTGAGATTCGACAAACGCGAAAGTATTTTGGGGGACATTTCCATGTCAATAATGTGCTCTACACATTTGATGATGGGCAATTTCGATTAAAAGAGGATATTCGAATGCAATATTCTTCTGTCAAAGATCGGCCGGTCGATGTGAGCTACGAAATAAAGAAATTCGAGTTCAAAATCAAATCGTTCGATTTTTGCGGCAGACGTTCGACACGCGTCTTTCATGCATCTCGCGAGATCTTGCAGTTGTACGGAAAATCACCTATTGCTCTGTAAGAAGTGCATCTCCAATAGAAGAGCACATAAACTAAACATTGCATGTGTTGAATCATTAAAATATAACTTCTTTTGTCAGCACACAAACCTCATTAAATTCATTAAATTAATATTCTCAGTTTAAGGTAGAGATGCAGGTTCGTGGCCACTTGGGAGTGACAAATTTTTTTTGGCTTTTTATTATCCAAACAGTCTCGGCTATAGACTGTTAAAACTTTGTAGAATTGTGAATAGTGGAACATACTCAAAAAAGATTTTAAAATATAGATAACAGTGCAAACATTCTCTCTTTTGAATGCTTAGCAAGATTTAGCAAGGCTGTACATAAATAGTAAAAA